GTCACTTTGTGGCTGTGCTGCTGTGGTTCCCAAATTCTTCTACTTTGCAAGAAAAAAATCACTCACAGTTGTTTGTGGGCTATCTGAGAAGACCAAAATTTGACTAGGTTATTGATGTTATACACCTGTGCCATTAGAAAGAGAGATGAATTCAAAGATTAAAAAGTCTGGCCCAAAACATTTGACCAAATACTGCAGGTATTCATCACTACACTGATTTACAGGTATTCTCTAAAAACTAACCCATATAAGGAGTGACATAATTAGGGGAAATTAGGGGATTTTTACTGCTATGATGACTGAAGACTTAAAACAGACGATTTTTGAAAGACTCAGACATACCGAACCATGGCAGATACACTGCAGTTTCACAAGTCAGTCAGAGGAAACTATGATAGAAATCTATACTTCCTGATAATTACAAACAGGATGAGAGATGCTAGAACATTCACAGATATGTGACCAAACCAGAACAAAGTTGAAATGACTCACTGAGTGAGCCATCAAAAATACAAATGTTATTTATAATGATTTATTTATAATGATAATTTATACATTTCACAATATACATGGTGGAAACCACTTGTGAAAAGATGCTTCTAAGTACAAGCGCATTAATATATGGAGCTATATGTGAATTGAATACACTGTTTGTGCTTCATTTAAACAGTTATTGTCCAACCACATGTTAGCAAACATACTGTAGAGTAGCTGCATTTCTCTACACAGTAAAACACCATACACAGAGCTTTATAGCCAGGACGTTCCTTCTTTTAAGAAATGTGCCAGACTTGGTCCCTGCTAAAACTTTTGCTACCTTTCTGATAAGTTTATGTTGATTTTTCAGCCCCATGATGGTTTCCTTCTCTTGTCTTTGAGTCTGCTTAAAAATTAAGATAAAACTGAAGTTATTCTGTTCTGGCTTGTGTTGCACTGTCTTTGTTTTGTTTTTGGGGTTTTTTTGCAATTGTTGCACTTTATGTAGTCCTGTGTTGATTGTTGTAGGTCATATGTAGCACTATGGTCTTGGAGGGACGTTGTGTAATTTCACTGTGTACTGTGCCACGGCCAGTGTTGGGGAATAACGGAATACATGTACCGCCGTTACGTATTTAAAATACAAAATATGAGTAACTGTATTCCGTTACAGTTAC